ATTAAGTCAGCTCATGATGCAAGTAGCTTCCCTCCTTCAGTGAATTTCAGTGTTCATTTCCGAAGCCTGGCTGAGCAGCAGTGTCAACGCCCCTTCTTAATAGGTATTGGAGAGGCTGAGTCTGGTTATTCCTTGTCACTCTAGCTCATGGAGCACTCAGTGCCAACTGTCCTCAGGGTTTTTAGACCAAAATTATAAGACAATAGGAAATGTCCATTTAACATCCTTGCTTCCATTCATGTTTGTTTGGGCCTGGTGACTTCTTACCTGGGAATGCATTTGGAAACTTCAAGTTACCTGCAAAATGTCAGTAAAACTACACACAATGAAAGAAAGAACCTTGAAGAGTCCATTTTGGTGTCAGACAGCAAGGGAAATTGTATAGTATTGAGTCTTAACAATGGCCATTGATATTATTTAACCAAAGGCAAGTTGTCTTGACTCAGAACTTTCCAGAAAGAGAAATAAAATCGACTTAATTCATTTGGGTAGCAAACAGACTTTGGTTTATTTTCTTCATATCCTAAAGAATATTTTTTAAGCCAAAAAAAGATAGATGAAAGGAATAGGGCTAATACAAGTCAATTTTAAATAAATTCTGTTTTGTCCAAAAGCAGTGCCAAGTTCACATCAGGCACAAGAAAACCAGAGTAAACACCAGAGAGTTGAAAGTGTGATTGTCCCCTGCCCTTCAAGGCCACATGGTACTGGGTAGCAGCCGTAAGAGCTTTGTGAAAAGTGAATCCAGTCAGAATGCAGACACCCCCTCCTCTAATGGAGACAGACCAACGAGAGATGGAGGATTTGCTTTTGACTTGGGATAGAATTTTTATTCTACCACACACAAGGCAATAAGACAGTGATCAAGGCTGCCTCCTCCCTTAGGATTTTAAAATATACCCAAGCCCAAGAGGTGACAGGGGTTGGGGGAAAGCAAGGGAAGGAATGAGAAGATGTTTGTCAAAGGGTACAAAGTTTCAGACCCACAGGAGCAGTAATTTTGAGATTTGTTGCACTGCAGGATGACTATCGTCAAGTGGCAGTAAAGAACTTGCTCACACACATGAACTTTCAAGCTAGACATTGGGTTTTTTGGAACAATTTCTTTCCTTGCCAGGTCAATATCCTTATATAAGTTATTTAAACATCGCTAAGCCTCTATAAAAGGGGTTAATAATAATCCTCCTGCATAGAGTTGTGAGGATTAAATGTCTTCACGCATGGGAAACATTTAAAATGTCTATTTCAACAGAATAGATAGTAGACATTGGAGACTCCAATAAGTTGGGGAGTAGTCAGGGATGAAATACTATCTATTGTGTAGGGTCCAATGTACACTGTTCAGGTGATGGGTACACTCAAAGCCCAGACTTCACCACTATGCAATATGTCCATGTAACAACTGTGCTTGTACCCCAAGTCTACAAAAGTGAGAAATAAAATGTATATTTCCAGATAAGAATTTCAAATGTCTTACCATAAAAAATGATAAATTAGCAAGGTGATAGATATGTTAATTAGCTTGATTTAATCATTCTATACGTGTGTATATATGTATATGTGTGTATATATATGTATATATGTATATATATACACACGTGTGTGTGTGTGTGTGTGTGTGTGTGTATACTTTTTTTTTTTTTTTTTTTGAGACAGAGTCTCATGCTGTTACCCTGGCTGGAGTGTAGTGGCACTATCTCAGCTTACTGCAACCTCCACCTCCCGGGCTCAAGCGATTCTCCTGCCTCGGCCTCCCGAGTAGGTGAAATTACAGGTGTGCACCACCACACCCAACTAATTCCTATATTTTTAGTAGGGACAGGGTTTCACCATGTTAGTCAGGCTGGTCTCAAAACTGACTTCAAATGATCTGCCCATCTCAGCCTCCCAAAGTGCTGGGATTATAGGCGTGAGCCACCACACCAGCCTTAATCATTCTGTATTATATATATAACATCACACTGTACCCCATAATTGCATACAATTATGATTTGTCAATTAAAGATAATTTAAGAGAGATCAGAGTAAAACGCACACCCAAGCTCAATAAGAAGTTATCAACTATTAATCTAGAAAATGTCTTATATCTTGATTTGAAGTATATACATTTATTATTTCCCACACCAGATACACTGATAACTTTCAGTCCTATGGATAATTAAAAGGAATTATGATTGTCTTATATATATAGCATAATAATCACTTACTTTACAATATATAATTTGCCATCCACACATTACCATTTTATCTGGCCATTTAACTACAGGTAATGATCCTTTATGAATCAAGCCCACGACCTGGAGATTTTCTATCTCATGTTCCTTTGGACCATTGCAAAAACAATATAGAATGCCTGCAGTGGAAAATTAGGCCTAAACTTAATTATCTTGCAGCCTATTTCCTGAGTTTAATTAACTTTTCTGAGTGATTTCTACTGCAATGAGGACTAGGCCCATTTTGTATTATTTAGTGTCATAATTTCTCTTCTCCCTCAGTTCCAAGGACACCACAAGCTCCCTCTAGTCCTAATTGCCATGGCAAATGCAGAGAAGAGAACTGAAAAACAGCTATAACCAAAATTAAGAATGTGCGGCTGTGCATACTAACATAGGGTCGGAAATACTATGAGTATGCTATCTATAATTTCTGCTAACCTCTAAATGAACTGACTTTAAATATTTTATTATCTTGTTAAGTAAACTCATATTATAGATTCAAGTTCATGTCATTACCGATCAGGCTGTTTAAGGAATATGAATTCAGCCCAGCCAACAGCCTTTCATATGCTAGAATATGACACACAGTTTGTAGTTTAAAGTGTCTTCCTTCTCCATATTTATGCATAAAGCTACTCTAAGAAGACTAGATGCAGAAAGATAACCTGCCTCTAGAAAGCATCTGAACCTCTTCCCCATAGTAGTGGAATGAATGTGGCCTTTGGAGCCCAGCAGATTGAAATCAATCCAGGCTTCAGACAAAGGTAACTGCCCCATTGAGCAGTTGAGATAATTAAATAAGATAACCAATCACCTCCCTTGCCTTTCCCTTTCATGATATAAAATGATTTAGGGAACAAAACAGTTATTTCCAGGGAAAGTATTGCTTGGCTTTCAACATGCCAGTGTGTTTTGTGAATGGCTAAAAGGGCATGTGAGGAGGAAAACAGACAAAGAATGAGGGGGCCGGGCACGGTGACTCACGCCTGTAATCCCAGCACTTTGGGAGGCCGAGGCAAGTGGATCACGAGGTCAGGAGTTCGAGACCAGCCTGAACAATATAGTGAAACCCCGTCTCTACTAAAAATACAAAAATTAGCCAGTCATGGTGGCATGCGCCTGTAATCCCAGCTACTCAGGAGATTGAGGCAGGAGAATCGCTTGAATCCAAGAAGTGGAGGTTGCAGTGAACCGAGATCACACCACTATACTCCAACCTGGAAGAGGGGACCTTCTGCTGAGACGGGTAAGAATGAAACAAAATAGAGAAAAGTTTGTGAAGAATGTTGTTTGTAAGAAAAAAATAGAAAAAGCCATGGAGAAAAGATGGAAGAGAAAGAATACAAAGTATTCAGGACATGTCGACATAAAGCAAAAACGAGCCACAGCTTCTAGGAGAGTCTATGACAAGAAAACAAGAACTCCAAGAAAACAAAGTGCTCCCAGGTCACCTTCTAGCCTCCAGATCCTGCTTCCACTTTTATCCATGGCTTTGGTGCTATTCAGGCACAGAGCTTGGCTTCGCACCAGGTGGGCAGGGAGCTGATGAAGGTTGGTACTGAGAGGTGCTGTAAACATTCTGATCCCACCAGGTGCCTCATGCCTGTCTCGTCACTCATTCACACTGCTGGGCCAGTCATATGGTTGAGATTTTTCTTGCTTTAAAGCAAAATTATCATCCTTAGTTCTGCAATGGGGAAGGTAAGGGATGAGGGATGATCTCACCACCGAGGGACATTTTGACTGGCTCCATCCTGTCCCTCTTTGGTCCCCGCCCCGCTTAGCTAGCCATGGAGATTTTCCCTGCCATGCCAACATCTATCTTTGAGCTGTCCAGGATCCTATTTCTCACCCAGGTATAAAGGGAGGTAGAATGAGGAGTGCTTACGATGGTGCTGAGCCATGGAAAGGGGCATCTCCACTCCAGGAACATCAGTTGGGGGCACAGATTGATGCCAGTACTGGAGGGCAGGCTGCTGTCCACATGAAGTCCTCTCCCGAGAGCAAAGAGAATAACGCAGATCTTTGGCTCAGGTTATGTGTGATGCCACAGCTTTAGCTGACACCAGTGATAATGGCTGATACTTGCAGTGTTCTTTCCTAGGCTTACCAAGGTGGTTGTCCAGACTCAAACACAAGCAGCTCTGGAAATATTCTGTTCTGTTATTAAGTGTCCCATAGCTGAGATGTCAGGATTGAACCACCCAATCCTTATGTAACTAGGGCAGTGACATGTGCTGAGGTCCTGACATTCTTGTTGCTACTGTGACCACACTCACATCATCTCTAGACTTGGAAAAATTCCCCTCCACACATTCATCTTCTTGCTTTCATTCAGAATTCTCAAATCTACCTTGTTTAGAGAAATAATTCTCAAGAATTAGCCCAATATTTGATTCTATTTTTCAAAGACAAAAAATAGACTCCGGCATAATAGAGAACTTATTTCTCTCTCATATTTAGTCCATAGTCTTGGCCATCACAGGCTCTTACAATCCATGTACTGGTCCTTATTTTAAATTAAAATTTTTAAGACTTATCCCTGAGATTACACTGAGCCATAATGGGCTTTGTACCTGAATATCTTCTGCCTAGGTCTCTCCCCAGCCGCCCACACACTCCACTGCACAGGCCTTAAATCATCCCTACACACCCTGCTCTTGTACCTGCCAACATCATCCACTGTCTAAATGCAGCTAGCAGCTGTTTATTTACAATTAGATCTGCCAGCTGGAAAGCAAACATTCTACGTTACCGAATCAATCAATGTTTCAGGGAGCAGGAAAAAAAAGTCAGGTACAGCATGAAATGGAAGACAGGAACATTACGTTATATTGCAGCTGTCCTTGTCCAATGCCATTAGACATTCTCAGCAGTAAGAATTAATATAACTACAGCCTATGATCAGCTGTCTTCTAGTCACAGATTTGACATCTAAGAAATACAACCTACTAGAGGTAAGGATTTGGGTTATAGAAGGCCATAGCCTGATGACATGAACAATTCTGTCCTAAGGGATGGTTCTCTGTAATAGAATCAGGTTTTCTACCCAATACTATGTTTCTCATTTTTTTTTCTAAGTAGTGAATTCAAGTAGTGATTAGAGCTGAATCATACACATTGATATTCAAAATGATATATTACCATGTACATGTTACTTGGGAGTATTTTATATGTATTTGGGTGCACTCTCTCATTTCGGAAATATCAAATGATTAAATCCTCATAAAGTGGCCCTTGACAAGTAATCCTTCAGTTTTTATTGACTTACATATTTACTGGCGTTCTTGACCTTGATTTCACTGCTCATTCATATAGCACAAGTTAAAACATGTTTGCCTGATTTGTTCCTCAAATTAGTAAAGCAAAGGAGAGTAACAATTTAATAGGAATACAGCAGCAAAAGTCTAACGGTGTGGTTTGGGCTTAGAAATTAATGCTCAAATTGGTGAGGCTTTTTAATCAGATCTGTTTGAGTTTTCTTCTAATTTTTGTTTTTTTGGTGGTGATCAATGGGAGTTATAATGGAGAAAGGTGACTAGTTATAAAATTGAAGAGTCACTAACCATGAGATTTTAGTATACAACCTAATATTTTTGGCCCATGAAAATTCCATATGAATGCATTCATACTTGTCAATGTCCTCTAAAACTCCCTGCAGTTTAATTGAGTAGCCTTTCAAAGAAACTCTAGAAATGTCCTTCTCTAGCCCTGGTGTGCTATGAATTTGAAAGTCTCCACTGTGTGTGCTGGCTCCTAATAGGCAACAGTATTGTGCAAACGTAGAAACATCTGCTGCAGCCACTAACAGCTTATTGAAAATGTCTAGCCAATCCTGCAGCAGATCCCCTCTGCCCCCATTAGAAAATATGCTGGCAGTCAACAGAAACACAGCAAAACTTGGAGAGCTTCAGAAAGCAGGAAAAGACAGTGAAGGGCTTTGGGAGAATAAATAAAACCCTCTCAGCCAAGTTGTAGGATTGGCCATTTGTGGTTGCAGAGCCTTCATTAAGAGGTTTCCATTTTCTATAGCCAGTTGTTTCCCCTCCCCAACCTTACAGGTTCAGACTCCACCCTTTCACCACCAAACTACCTCAACCTCAAGAGGAGTGATCCACTTTCATACTACCTGTTCACCTCACTATTCAAAGTAGCCTTATAAATACTCAGTTTCCCAGAGTACATGGGAGAGGGTATGGTTTAAAATTACAAGCAAATGCTGGGAAATAGTTAAGTTGGTGCTGTGAGTAGGCAAACTTAGAGAAAGCTCAGACTGAAAGGCAGGCAATCAGACCATTCATTGCAGGACCTCCACAGGCACAAGGGGATAAAGTCTCAAGCTAAATAAAGGTCAATAAAAATTGAAAGAATGTTCCCAGGGGTGGGAGACTGTGTTGAAAACAGAGAGCTAAGTGTGGGGCAGTCATTTGCTTCCGGTTCCTTGGGAAAAACAAACATCATGGACCTTGCGATGATGCCTTTTCCTTTCTCACAACAGCTCACTGAGTACAAATCAATTGGATATGACCTACTCAAAGTCATTGTGTTATTAGAGCTTTTCATTCTTTTTGTTTTGCTCCTGGACGATCCCTCCTTTCTCCTTCACCTTATGTTCTCATTCCCATCCCTCATGGCATTCAAGTAACATCATATTGGTTTCGATTATTTGATTGAACGCAACATAAATGAGTTCTAACTTTAGCAAAAGAAAAAGAAAAAAGAAAAAAAAAACAGGCAGCTGGAAATGGAGAAATATATCAACTGGAAAGGTAACCTGAGTAGCCAGGTATAAGGAAAGAAGAAAACCAGGGTAACACTAGAGAAGTAATGGACAGCCTCTTCAGAATCACCAAAGGATGAGTCAGATCCAATCATTTGGAGTCTTATTGATGTTATTCAGGATTCAAATTCCTAGGTAGGGTTATGTGCCTACCCTTGGGCAGGCTAGGGCTGGGCCCCCAGATTGAGATTCCCATGGAGGCTGTGTGGAGTTGGCGAGGGGAAGGTCCACAGTGCTGGTGGCAAAAGGTAGGCTGGGTGCTGGGCAGGCACTGCCCTCAACCATCCCCCACAACCACATCCAGCATGTACATGAAGCAATGGGATGAAGCTCAGAGAAACTACATGTCAGGTTCAGCTCCTAAAATACAAGTTTATCCAACTGCTCTTCACTTTATTGCTAAATACATCCTCTTCTAACACTGCATTTGATACATTTCATTCCTTCCTTTAACACAGAAATTTCTCATTTCAGTATTTAGCTTTCACAGTGAACTGTCACCAGGCTTTAATTCCTGCCATGGTCTGAACATTTGTGTCTCTCCAAAGTTCATATGTTAAACAAATCCCCACTGTCATGGTATTCAGAGGTAGGGCCTTTGGGAAGTGATTAGATCGTCAGGGCAGAACCTTCATGAATGAGATTAGTGCCCTTATAACAGAGGCCCCAGGGAACCACCATGTGAGGACACAATGACAAGTCAGCAGTCTGCAACGCACAAGAGGGCCCTCACCAGAACCCAACCATGCAGCGACCCTAATGTTAGACTTCCCAGTGTCCAGAACTGACAAATAGGTTTCTTTTGTTGATAAGTTCCCATTTATAGTACTTTATAGCCCAAATTAGTCTACTAAGGCGAATCTCCACTCTTGCCCATTAAATAATTCCGATTAATTTTATCATAAAGACCAAGACATAGCTATAAAAAATATCTCCCAAAAAAGTCATTTTCAATCACATTAGTGCTGTCCAGTAGAATTTCCTGCAATAGTAGAAATGTTCTATGTCTGGGCCATCCAATGTGGTAGTCACTAGCCATGTGTGGCTAGTGCAACTGAGGAAATGAATTTATTTAACTTCAGCTAATCTACATACAAGTTCAAATAGCCAAACGTCAGCAGTAGCTACCATCTTGGACAGTGCAGAAGAGATATAATATCCTAGAAATTCTCTTGGGGAATCTGTATGGCTTCTACATACTACTACACTCATGTATTCCATCAATGCGGAGTGTTAAAAGCTAAACTAATATTTTTCTGAGAATGTTATTAGCACTCTGTACCAATTGTACAAATGTGGCTAATGAGAAACCTTGTAGATAGTTGACTTGCATTAGGTCACCCAAAATCTAAACCATGCCAGAGCAAATACACAAAGCTCCAGGAAGTCCCAAGCTTTAGCTCTGCTTTCCACAGGTGTGTGACCTTTGGCAAATCCAGTTTTCTACTACTTGAAAAGAAGGAGGCTAGGCTGCATGCCCTGGGGTTCTCTCTTCCAACTCTAACAGCTACAATTTTAATTTTTCTCCCATTAAAATCTAGAAGCTATGAGACAGGGGTTGCAAATATAAATGGCTACAGTGTCCAGTCTGGCAAATGAAACTTGCCAGGTGAGGACAGGAACAAAATGGAAAATGCATGCCCTAGGCAATTATACAGCTGGGAACATCAGTTCATTTCATATTCTCATTTTCAAAGAGACCTCAGAAATTTTTAATTGAGATTTGAAGCAATTTGTAAGGAAACTTGTGAGCTAACCAAAACTCACCCAGGGTATGACATGGATTGCTTCAGATAGATTATAGCTCTGTCCTCCAAGTGGTCTCCCTCCCAACCACCACCACCATCACATTCAGAATTGTCTGATTTCTCCCACACTCCCGTATTGTCCTCAGTTGAAATTATTATTTCTAAAGTTTCCTTCTTGGGCTCCAAACATGATTTATATTAAAATGTTGTCTGTTAGATCAACCCACAACACCTCGATTGGGAAGGTGGCTTTGTTTCTAATTAAGAGACAAAAATTATCAGAATGTAGCCAACATCGACAGATGCCCCAATCTCTCCCTTATTATTCGTGATGATACGAAGGAAATGTGAGCATAAAGGGAATCCAAGCCTTCTATGATTCATTGAAGTTTGCGTTTTGAACAAGTTACATTCAACTTAGTTTCAGATAAAATTGCAAATAGCTGCTGCCCAGAAAATTCTAACTTTTCACTGAAGCATTACTTGTCAACTACACAATCTTACTGCAGTAAAAGGACATAACCACCAGGTGGCAGCATTATATCATTGAAGAAGCTCAGACCTTGAACTTGAGGTGTATTTATAAAAATTGTCTTGGCATAGTCTAGTCAATCTACATGTCTTCTAGATTTCTTTCTTATTTTCTATCAGTTATTAATATTATTTGAAATTATTGTGGCTTAAGCCATTCACCCTGAAATCAGCTTTAAATTCTTAAAATGTTCAGAGTTACCAATACCTTGCTGATGATTAACCTGTTTGTCTTATATGCTCCTGGGACTAACGGATGTTGCATTTTTTAAGAGAAACCCTAAATGGTAAGATTTGTGTTCTGGAATCTCAGGAGTACTGTATATGTATACTAGCTCAGGAGGCAACCTAGATAATAAGCAGAGAATCTTTTGGAATGCAGGAAGTGCACTTCTGTGTACTCTGCAAATGAAACCTAAATTCAGATCTCAACTATAATGAGTAACAACTGGTCCCCAGCCAACTAAGAATCAGTTTCTTCTCTCATCCTCACTTTCACCCACTCACACATCAACTTTGTCTTTAGTCAGCCATGGGTAACTGCCATCTCCTCGCAATTCAAGGCAAAGCAAAATGTATTTTACCACTGAATATACATGTATACACACAAACACACACACACACACATCCATAATATCATTTTCTACCTAAAAAGAAATAACTTTAGTATCACCATATATTCAGAAAGGGTTCTAATTTTCCATTGTCTCAAACGTTGTCTTAGTCCAAGCCTATCGCTATAAACAAATTTGTTCTTTATAAATTACCCACCGTAGCCAGGCGCAGTGGCTCACGCCTGCCATCCCAGCACTTTGGGAGGCCAAGGAAGGTGGATCACCTGAGGTCGGGAGTTCGAGACCAGCCTGACCAACATGTAGAAATCCCGTCTCTACTTAAAAAAAAAAAAAAAATTAGCCAGGCGTGGTGGCACATGCCTGTAATCCCAGCTACTTGGGAGGCTGAGGCAGGAGAATCGCTTGAACCTGGGAGGCAGAGGTTGCAGTGAGCCAAGATTGCGCCATTGCACTCCAGCCTGGGCAACAACAGCGGAACTCTATTTCAAAAAATAATAATAATTAAAAATAAAATAAATTACCCAGCCTAACAAAATACCTTAGGCTGGGTAATTTATAAAGAACAAATTTGTGTCTCATTTCTAGAGGCTGAAGTCCAAGATAAAGGCACTGGCAGGTCTGGTGAATACCACCCTCCACTTCCAAGACGGCACCTCTTAGTGCATCCTCGCATGGATGAAGTGCAAACAGCGTCCTCATACCTCTTATATAAGGATGCTAGAACCATTCACAACGGGCCCAACCTCATGACTTAATAACTTCCTAACATTAATACTATCACATTGGTGATTAAGTTTCAACATATGAATTTTGACAGGACACACTGACCACAGCAAATGTCCTCATTTAAGGAAACAAAAGTTTCCATACCTTTTACTCTTCCTGGCCCCTCCCTGCTTATACAATTAATTTGGCAGAAGTTCACATTTGGACTTGGAAATCCATCACTGGTAGAGGGTAGAGCAGCGCTGAAGCCTGGGGGCTGGGGATTTTGACCTCACTGACCCTTACGGCTCATCCTCACAGTAACCCCTCCCAAAATGGAGGGCAAATCTGCCCCATCTCCATTCTTAGAGGTGGCACGGAAGCAAATTTCTGGCAATATCAGAATAGCCATTTTTATCTGATTCCAGCAAACACGAGCTCAGAAATAAAGCCAGTTCTCAGAGAATCTAATATAAGCTTAGTAATATTAATTGTTTAAAAAAAAGTTATTTTTTTAATTTAATGAGACAAGAAGCAGATTCAGTGGATCATTCAGGTTCTTAGGGATGCCTATCTGCCCTACCCACCCTTAGAAAATCTAAAAGAGGTTATGGACACTCTCTGCACCTAAAAGAAAAAAGTCACCTGCACTGTCAAAGAGTACACGTTTTCAGAGGACTTGGGAACTGGGGACCCACACTTAGCTTCAAAGAGGAGAACCTTTGGCACCGTCAACCTGTTTCCTGTGAGGGCTGTGCTGTGCACATAGGACAGTGTAACAGCACATGAAGTCAAGCAGAATGTGACCTACAATCACTCTCTTCAACCTAAGTATCTACTTCCTAGCAAGTTGTTCATTTGTCGGTTTTGTATTATTTTGTTTTCTCCAGACCAGAGCATCTGAGAGATGAGCGAAAAACTATCTCCCGAAAAGCCAAGGGAAGGTGCCAGGCTCACAGGTTTTGGTGGTTGGTGAAAAGGGAGCAGACATTCTGCGGGCAGTTTGGTCATCTACCTGGAGGCTTCAAGTTCTGCATATGCCTTGACCGACCTTGGCAATCTTCCTTCTAGAAATGTATTCTAAAGAAATCATTGTGACTGCACCAGTGACGTAGCAAAGGACATTCACTACAGTGTTGTTTAAAATACTGACAGATTAGAAATAAGGTGTCTAACAATGCTGGCAATGTTAAATCAACTATGGTACATCCATTAAGGAAAATAATATGCAGCCTTTTATAACGGCTTGGTAAAGGTTATTGTACTGAAGTGTGTTTGATATATTACATGGAAAAAGTAGATTCTAGAATAGTATGTGCTGCACACAGACCATTATTTTGATTATATATCCTGGAATAATATCTATTTTGATTATATATCCTGGAATGATACATACCAAATGGCTAAGAGTGACACCTCTAGGTTATAGAATTAGGTTTAATTTTATATGTTCTCCCTTTCTTCTTTTGATTCTTTTTCACATGTATCTTTTTCTATAATAAGCGTACATTTCTGTGTAATAAAAAAAAGTTAATGTCACCTCGAGGCATAAGTGCATTCTGAGAATCCTTGCTCACTAAGGTCGAGGCCAGAAGCAGCAGGAAATTTGGAAAGCCAGAGAGGTCAAAACTGAGCATCAACAACAAAATCAAGACATCAAGACAACATCTATTATGGCAAAGACTTTCGAGGAAAAGACCAATTCCAGGAAGGAGGAACCAGAGCCTTCAATGGGGTGACGAGGCCATGACAGGGACTAGAAAAGCTGCTGATAGACAGGGGAGGTGGTGACTGATATTACACCTGCTCAGTCCCACATTTTCTCCTACTAAAGGGATTCTTTATATAAGAAACTTTTATATAAAGCTGATAATGAAATAAATCCAAGTCTCTATAGCTTCATAGAGTGGCTCCAAAAGTCTAGCCTATGGGTAAGATTTTATTTTCAAATGCATATCCCTGCCATAGTCCAGAAAAAAACTGCCATGTGTGGAAGAGAAAACTCAGCCCTTTCCTAGAAAAGATTAATAGCAGGTGCCAGCTTTCCTGTCAATTGTGCTTTCTACAAAGGGACTTTGTTTCATGTAAGAATATCTGAACTTCCTTTGTAAGTCTGAGCACATTTAACTCAGACACAAGTTTAAAATCAGAATAGCTTTCTTGGATTTGCAGTCTCCATTGATTTTTCTTCTATAAGCTGTGTTTCCAGGCTGTCTGCCTTTCCACAATAAGCTAAAGGGATCCAAGACTCGCAAAGCAGAACTCTGCAGGGATGACCCGCAAACCCCATCAATGAAACTCTTTTTAAAAATTTAATAATCCCCATTTGCATGACTTAAAGTCTATCCCTTATAACAACAGCTGTGGCCAACAACTTGGTGGGTCAAAGATAGGGCTACAGTAATCTGACTTATTTTTTGAGCTCCCATTTTACTAATGTACTTGATTTTAGTAGATTTGGATTTCCTTCTTTTTCATTGGTTACATCTAAGTTTGGGGGGGTTATATAAAGCCAAGACCTTATGAGGGAGTCCCCCTGGTTCTTGTGTCAGCGTTCATACAGGTGTCCCCCAGGCTGTACGCAGTTGCCCCAGGGCTAAGAGGATCCCACACTTCCATGTGTTGAGGCATGCCAAGAGAACCCTAATAAAATGAGTCAAATCTGGGAAGCTGAAACTTCAACTTTAGGCCAAACATTTTCTCCAAACCAAACATTAAGTGTTCTATCCAAGTCTAATAAATTCAGTAAGTGAAAGTCTCTGCCTAAGAAGGCAAAAATTATTTCATACATTCTGTAACTAGTTATTATTTCCCTTACCCAAGTGTTTTTCCCAGATCTTTGTGTACCTTTTAGCTCACTTTTATTCAACTGATAATGTTTTCTTTTACTTTTCAGTGATTCTAAATTATTCTGGAGTGTAATTAATGTATACTTAGCACGTATTTATCTTTAAGTCGCACTGGTATGTATGCCATTTTCCCACATGCATTATATCCCAGGGCTAACACTATGCTCTTTATAGGACATTTTTGTACCCCTTTTCTCCTTCCAACCACACTGTAACAGATGAATGATAAATACAGCCTTTCTATCTTTTCCTTGTGATGGTAGCAGCACCAGAAAATGCCATCAGGGATGTGGGCCCTGCACTCTGGGGGCTGGGTTTGAATATCAGCTCAGCTACTAATGGGGTGACCCTTCCACAAATTATTTGTGTTCTCCATGCCTTAGTTTCCTCATCTGCAGGAAGGGATCATAGTAATACCTATCACACAAGGGTTGTTTAAAGGATTAAATGACAATGTATATTAAGCACATAGAGAAGTGTATGACACAAATATAGGCCACTTGTTGGAAACCCATGAACTCAAGTCATAAAGCAGACCATTCTAAAGTGAGTCATGTTTCCTCATACTCCTCTATAAGAATATCATATACTTATATAGTTATGTGCATAACTACATAAGTGTTTTGGGTTTGACCAGGGACTGATATCAAATCACTCATGGCTAGAATAGCAAAGTGCTATAGGAACAAAAGCAGGGCAGATGTAAACCTTTGTAATTAATCAAAATAGTAATATGCCTCAAATTCTATATAACTACCCCAGGCAAACCCATTTCTGTAGGTAAGTAAGACTTCATTTAAGGAGATTTAACATCAATACACAACCTCTTTAGATGACAATGCCCATATATGCTTTCCCCTAAGAGTGTCTAAATCTAAAGACTCATGTAGAGGAAAAATCAAGTAATTCTGCATGCCTTCACTTGCATATATCCAAAGGGCAAGCCACATATTTTATAAAGAGTTTGTCAGGGTCGGGTGTGGTGGCTCATGCCTGTAATCCCAGCACTTTGGGAGGCCGAGGTGGGTGGATCATCTGAGGTCAGGAGTTCCAGATCAGCCCCACCAGTATGGTGAAACCCCATCTACTAAAAATACCGAAAAATTAGCCAGGCATGGTGGTACACGCATATAGTCCCAGCTACTCAGGAGGCTGAGGTAGGAGAATCACTTGAACCCACAAGGTAGAGGCTGTGGTAAGCTGAGATCATGCCACTGCACTCCAGCCTGGTCAACAGAGCAAGACTCTGTCTCAAGAAGAAGAAAAAAAAGGCTGTCAGGCATATCAGGAGAGCTTACCCTTTTGACAAAGACCCTAAACAAGTATAATTTGCAAGATATAATCCTTTGGTATTCTGGATATTGACTCAGGTTTACAAGATAAAATGTTAAGTTTTCGTGGATTTGTTGTTTTGGTTTTGGTTTGTGAAACCTCCTATGAAAAAGTCAACAATCAGAGCTAACCAAGTGATCACAGCCTGGTAACTATGTGTGAATAATTTAAAATCCTTCAAAAGATAACTCCCTGTTGTAAAGAGGTCTTCTTAGCCGTGGGCATTTCATTCATCATCTTTAGCGTTTGCTGAAAAAACAGTTAACTGTTCACCTCTCTCTAAAGATTGAATCCACTGTGTTCAAAACAAACTGCTTTCCTCGGAGCTTTTAAAAAAATTGTTTACTTCTAAGTCCTAATGAAGATATATTAGTTCAAAAGCCATAGAATAGAGGTCCCAGATACAGCTTTTGAGTGAATCCTGAGAAAGGTCAGTAAGGTTGTAGATAAGAGCTTTCTGCTGCCTTGAATCAATCTTTTAGCGTGTTCCTCCAAGCTCTCTGCAGTCGGTGCTAACCAGCCTTGCTGGGTCGAGGAAGGGTTATCCATTGGAAATGACTTGCATCTGAGACAGCAACAGAACAGTCAAATAATTTTTCTTCCCTTAAAAGATGAGATTGTTCTACGCTCCTTTCATACAGTGTTTAGATGGGAAGACCAAAATGGCTGCAGGAAATACTTTCAACAGAAGATGTAACAACAACTGTCATTTACTCAAGCCCTTGGATGGCAAGTGGCTAAGAGTATTCTGCTGGACAAGAGATACTCAGAAACATCAAGGTCCAGAAGAGCTCAAACCTCTGCTAAATTAAGTACAAAGGAAGATACTGCTTTGGAGGACAGACACTAGTTCCCTCTTTTCTCAGAGTCTCAAAGTGGTGTACATCTCAGTCAGAGGTCTTCATTGCAGCTTTATGGAACAGTGAGGAGGAAATGATGCTTGGCACTCCTGAGAGATTTTCAGAAGACCATTCAACAAGACAGTGGCAAATGAGGAAAAAAAGTTTTCCCATTTATGATAGCTACATTTCATTTTCTCCATCACGGGAATTGATCCTGGGTGCCACTACCAGATGACAGAGCAACATAAATTTTTTTTTTTTTAAGAAAACAATGTGAGAAAGCAAAATATCTTCACAACGGTCTTCATTGTCCTCAGGATACTCCAGGCCACACTAATCTCTTGGCTCTTGGAAGCAGATTCAAGTTGAGTAGTTTTCAAGCCTAGCTCCATGGAACCCCTGTAGGGAATGAGAAGAGCCAGAAGGAACCCTGCTGTTCTACCCCAACTTCCCCAGAAGAGCTCTAAATGTATCTGCTTAAAGGGGCCCATGATTTTAATACACAGACATTTTTAAATGACCTAGGCTAATCCTAACCCTTTAAAAATGAAGAAACTGAAGGAAAAAGAAGTAACTGAAGAAGAGTACAGGTGAAACAATGCGGGTGGAAATCAACATATAAAGCAGGCAGCCAGAGGCCCAGGGTCTAAAGAGGAGGAGAAGTTTACCTAGGACCCAAAAGGATGGGTGCTTACAAGAGGTGGTTCCTCAAAAGCACATAATACAAACCTCTCAAGATGGACTTTAATATTGATTACCTCTTTGAAATGAACCTCATTTTCTCATGATAAGCAGTACAACTATTGATCTTTCATCATAAATACATTTATCTTCCTACGAATTAACTTTAGTCTTTCTTTTTCTTCTCTATCAATTCCAAACTCTTTTCCTTGGCTATCTCTTCAACCCTCAACCCTTCTATAGGATTTTATTCTGAATTGGTAGTCAGTTTGGTTCCACACAATTACATGTAAATTGCATTATCCAACAGTATCAGTTCAATCTTACATCTGTGGCCAGTGTTGTTTTATGAAACTGGAATAAAATACTTTATATATTAATATTTAAATATATATTTTAAGGAAAAAGTACTTGAAATACTACAAGAGATAAGACTTGGTTCCCTTCATATGCTGATTCAACGAAACCAGATGATCAAAGGAATAGTATCGTTGGGAGGGTCCTTTATAGGTCATGTAAGCCTCTACCACCTTCGTGGAGCAACGTTCTTAGACTCTGACAATGGGATCAACTTGAAAGGCATTCAGAGATAAGTTTTAAAACACCCTTAAAATTGTTCCCCAGCCATCTCTTCTCAGTTCAATAATTCAATTTCTACATTATCATACTTTTATTTTCCATTTATCTTTTGATTCTTTTCTATACTCCTTTTGATTCTGCATATCCCACTTACCTGAAGTGCCAGACTATTTACTAGGTTTTAAAAAGGGCCTGGATACAAAATACTTTTTCTAAGCCCTTACGTACTACTTTGAGACAGTCTACTCTGTTGCCC